TAATTCCACCTGGTCCATTCCTGGACCCCCGCTCTTCCTGAGGACCTAGCTTTGCCATTCAACACCAGTCTGCTGGGAGGTATATTGCTTGGTGTATATTACATGCCCAAAAAGTGTTTGCTGACCATTTGTTTTAAACCTACTTCCTCATTAAAGTCTATTTGACTATTATTAAGTTTATTCCTTGTTTTGACTTCATAATTATCATGATGGTCAGCAAATCAAGGTTAATAGGCATTGGTGTAGTGGTCAACCCAGTACCCCCCAGAACTATCCCGGTTAAGCTGAAATCCTTACTCTAACACTTGCTCTTGTGTGAATGTGAACAAGTGCTTAAACTTCTCAGCACCTAAATTACCTCATCTGAAAATTATGAATATAAATAATATCTTCTAACGACTTTGTTATGCAGATTAAATAAACTAACACTTGTAAAAAACCAAAAACAGAGCTTAATAAATAATAAATGCTATATAAGGATCACTAAATAAAATATCACCTAACTTCAACTGCTGTTCAGAGCAAGTGCATGGATAACTGTGATTTGGTTATCAGAGAAGCTTCCCAGAGTTTTGATATTTAAATAGATGCAGATGCCTGAACTCAAAAATTCCCATGACTAAAAGTTAAGAGTAGCAGGTTAAACATGAGCAGCAACCACAAACACACTGAAATACTGAGAGGAGAAAGGCCATAAAACCTCAAAATGTAGACACAAAATCTTATTAGATGCACCACAGAGAAACCCAAACATATTCAACTAACAAAAATGAAATTAAATAACCAATTTCAGCAAAAAAATAGAAAGTTGGGCCAAGCCTTCTACCTAATTTGAGTTTGTTTTTAATTGATACGAATGCCAGCATAGTTTTTAAATTATCACCTTAGTAGTGTCTTTACAATTCTAGCTACTCTTCAGAAAGTATCCCAAAATAATGAACACATACAATCATGTAATGCAGTCTAGCTAAAAGCAAAGAAAGAATTAGACAGTTTATAGAACACTCACCCCTCAGCTTCTGCAATTTCATGTGGGTTGATTTTCCAACTTATATTTTCCAACAAGATGAAATCCCTCTTCTACTTGCCAGACTCTAAGTCCCAAAGATGCAGACATACGCAGAATGGATGGACCGTCCTCACCAACATTGGAGTGTGCTCAATTTCCTGCAGTTTCATTATCATCATGCCCAATATCCCAGCCTCTGAGCTTGTTTATGATGAATGGCAATGAATAACTTCCAATTTTCTTTATAGCTTTGCTTTGTTCTTTTCCTTTAAGTTTATCTGAATTCAAATAACTAGATAGGATGAAGCATGTTACCAGAAAAGTTTTGTTTAATGAGCTTTGATACCACATCTCTTCAATTATTCATATTTCACTCAAATGGAATAAGATCTGGAAAATATAAACTAAAAGACATAATTGGAAAAAAAAACAGACAGGAGAATTTCCCTTAAAATGGATCACAGACTAAAACTTGCTAGAACTTTGTCACAGAAACATATTCTAGTAACGGGATGGAAAATCCTCTGGTCTGTTCCATCTCAAATGGTCACACAAGAAGGGAAGGTGCATCTATTCCACAGAGCTCACTTCTGAGGAAGCTCATTAAACTTTATAATAATATTCACCTGACATTATCAGTAGGAAGCAACATATTGGTCTTTAGATAAATAAAATACAATAATAAATAAAGAGCTAAACATTGCTCTTCAGATGTAGTTCTTTAAAGCAATGAATTTTAAAAATCTGAAATGGAAATACAAATATTGAAGTACCTACAAACTTAGAAAAAAAATCAAGCTTTGAGATTTGCAAACAAAATGCTTGAAATGAATTATGAAATCCCAACATGTAGCTCTTCCCTGTGGATGTTTAGGCAGGAAAATTCCAAGTAAGGAAAGTCCATTTCTGTGATAACCATCAAATGCCTTTCGGTTTATCTTATTTATGACCGGAGGCCTTGCCATTCAACACTGAGTGTCATTCTGTTTAGGTTTCCACAGTGGTGAGCTGCCATGCTTGGGGAGATGCAGCCCATAATAGCTTATGGAGCAATAAAGGGACATCTTACGGAGAAGTTCTTCATCCCTTGGCTCTGGTACTGGTGCCTGCACAGCATCTGCTTCCTCCTTAGTCTTGTTACCACACTGAAATTGCTTTGCTTTGTTTCCATGCCGAACTGGAAAAGCTCTCAATCATTTCTCCTGCCATGTCTATAGGAAAACAAAAGTAGGCCAATCATGCCATTATGACATTGCATGACAGGCAAGGTCCATTTTACAAAGCAGTACTGTAAAGTGAAAAGCTTTGAACCCTCTTCCGCCCCTTACTCTTACTCTTAAAGCCAAACTAAATTAAACCTGCAGCATCTCTGCATTTTACCCACTTTTATCAATATTATGGAAAACAGGCTTGAACACCAAATATGACCAAAGATGAAAGAAAGCTATCATTTATTAAGGGGAAAAGAAAAACTGTTTAAGTTAACAGTGATGGGCAAATTAAAGGAGGATTTATTTAGCTATAGAATAATTAACCAAAATGTCTTAATAAATATCTGAAATAAAAACACTGACGGCCGGCCAAGTGCAGTGACCCACGCCTGTAATCTCAGCACTTTGGGAGACTGAGGCGGGCCGGATTACCTGAGGTAAGGAGTTTGAGACCATCCTGGCCAACATGGTGAAACCCTGTCTCTACTAAAAATACAAAAATTAGTTGAGGGTGGTGGCGGGCGCCTGTAATCCCAGCTACTCTATTTGGGGGGCTGAGGCAGGAGAATCGCCTGAACCCGGGAGGCAGAAGTTGCAGTCAGCCGAGGTCGTGCCACTGCACTCCAGCCTGGGCAAAAAGAGTGGGACTCCATCTCAAAAACAAACACACAAAAAAACAGACACTGAGGGCATAAATACAAACTAACCAAGAAAATTATAAAAAGAGTAGAAATGTTCTCATATTTCAGTTTAGCAGCAGGGTCACATTCCCTTGTTAAAGAAGCATTTGCACTTCTGGGCTTGTGAATTAAGTGTGGAGAGGCCAGAATCTGCAGCTGAACATTTTTGGATTGGGCAGGCTATGGGAAAAATAAAGATTTCCCTCAAGCTCAACAATTTCTGTCCTCTGAATAGGGCAAATGTGTCTGAACACATTCAAAAAGTCCCTTTGCCTTAAAACGTGAGAAAATCACATTGTAATAGCTAGAGAGAGGAATCTGGAGCATATTCACACATGGAATAACATCATTTGTTGACGACAAGGTCGTGTCTAAGAGCCTACTACCTAGAATACTTGGAAGAGAACAAGTAGAAAGGTAAAGATTATCCAATGGAAAGGATGTTCCTCAAACTATGTATTCATTTCTCTTCTCGGGGAAGGAAAAATCAATAATTTATTACGAATGCAGCGTTCTCAGGGAGGTTTCCCCAGTTTTCTGAAGAAACAGAAATTTTCCAAAGCACTGTAGTTTATTTAAATTCTATTAAATGTCTAATAAAATCATAACATAAATATAAATAATATGCATGTGCAATAATATCTATATAATGTTTCAAGAAAAAAGATTTGTGAGTATTTTCAAAGAAGTCAGGATAGTAACTTAAATTTTGAATATTGTATGTGGGAAGATATAACCAAGTGGACATACATTTTAATTAGCTGATAAAGTCTGTGAAAAAATTATTAGTTGATAAAATGGAGATTTGTTTTTATTGAACTTATAATAGTCAATATATAAACCGTGTAAATTGTGCAATAATACAAAAGCCTCTATTTTATATTTTCTTAAATTTTCACAACTGTACTGACACGATTTAAAAAAAAAAAACTATGCTTTTCATTTTACCAGTAAAGAAACGGAATATCCAAGAGAACAAAGTAACTTATTTAGAGTAACACAAGTCATAAATCACCAAATCAAGAGGAACATTTGGGACTTTAGGTTCTGTTTAGAAGCTCTGCTAAATTATACTTTTGATGTTGCTTCCCTACGTTAAATTTAAAAGATGTTTTGAACAACTTAAGACAATAGTTTGTATGTATATAAGTATTTATATATTTATATATAAAAATTTACATATATTTATATACATAAATATATACATAAAGTTTGTATGTATATAAGTATTTGTATATATAACCGTAGGTTTATAGATAATGTATTTTTTACATAGAACTATCGATTTACATATAATTTATATTTTATATATATAAATCCTAATGGAGTAAGTCACGTGTTGTTTTCTATTGGTCATATACTAGCACAAGAATAAAACTCTACAAGGGAAAAACAGGAACACAAACTGAACCTTTAAATATAAGGAAACTTCATTACGCAGATTTTTTGGCGTTCCTGAGATGTCTGCAGTGTTAATACCCTCCAGGTCAGGTGTATTTAATGGCCATTTGGCTCAACGGCCCTTGGTCTTGCCTGAGGCCCTCAGTTCTTCACCCAGACATTAACTGACAGAGACTGAGCAGCTCAGAAAACCCTCTTACATGATAGAAGTGCTCAGTCAATAGAAGCTTCTCTACTAATAGGCATACAGCACATTAGTGAGATATCCACCTACAGTTTTAATGACCTGAATCCAACCTTCTCACACTGTAAACCTATTTGAACTCTGAAAATAAACACGGGGTTAGATTTTGTTGCATGTATCAACACCAAACTTTAATTTAGCAAAATCGTATTGATTAACTACTTAGTTCTCTATACAAGGCTATATGAGGACCCACAGAATGAGAATGCTTATATTTTGTTGTTCTGTAGAATGTATATCTTACTTTCTGTTATTTTCTCCAAAAACACTTATATCTTGGATTAAAAAAAGAAGGGACATAAAGTGTAAATAGTATTTCTAAAGTAGCTTTTAACTCTATTTGTTTATATCAATTTCATCACCCCACCTTAGTGTGTAACCATCTTAATATCATATTGTAAGAGTCTCCCCGGGGCCTGAAAGCTTAAGGAGATGAGTAACTCCTCCCTTCTCAGGCCCAGTTCCAGGGCGCAACTTGAGCCAGCAGCGTATGCCAGCAAAATAGCAGTAGCAAGAAGAAAGCCAGCAGAAGACACCTACCCTGGCCGGAAGACAGGTACCCTGAAGATGGAGGAAGGGGCCATCCGGGTACGACGTAGGAGTTACGTCAGACTAGGACACTTCCTGTTTATAGGAGACTATAAAACCTTTGCCCTGTCCTCAGTAGGGGCTGATGCCATTTGAGGCCTCAGCCCGCCTGCACCCAGGCGCTTGTTAAAACAGCGTGTTGCTTCACACCGCCTCATGTTGTCTGTTGGCACGCTCTCAGGGTTGGAACCAACACAAGAACCTTACACATATCATACTGCACCAAATAAAAATAGTCTAAAATAACAACAGCCAATATAGGCACAAACCTTAAAGTGTCTTCATAGAAATAACACATCGATGTACTTGATAAACTAAAGTGTAGATATTTTATGTGGAATAAAGTTTGAAGAGAGGTATACCAATTGAATGTCAGCCTGTTCTTTGTGAGAAAACAATTATCCCTTCTCTTCGAAGAGTCAGGAAGGCTTTACTAACAAAATAATATACCAAGGACAGTGTGAATAGTGAAATTCAGAATACTTGAGACCGTGGCCCTGGGAATAAATTGAAATGCGTGCAATTTTGAGCAGATTTGAGAACGGTGTCCTCATTTCTTGTATATCCCTTACATGACCGGATGCACCAGCTGTACCATTTCTGTCACTGGTTTACTCATCTCCCTTTATACTGTCTTTTGCTTCATGCTTTGCAGTGCCTGAGGCTGAAGCTTGTGACTGATCATGCGCCTCTATTCCCTAGGAGTTTTACCAATGAATGTCATCTCTCCTGTTTTAAAGATGAGCAAGTAAAATCAACCAACATAACACCTGAAGATAACAGATTCTCTAAAATGAATATTTTAAAACAAGAGAAGTGATGGGAAGATGGAATGAGGCATGGATGGAGGCACTGTGCTCTGATCCTGTATTTTTATGTATGGAGCAAAGCTACACTGGTTGCTCAACCTAATTTCAAGGTAAAGTTGCTTGCAGCATGCTGAATTCAGCAAAACCAAATAAATAGAAACCTTTTCCTGACCCATAGGGAAAGAAATGACACCATTAATATATTCTCAGTGTTAATTATTTTCCACATGTATTTATCTTTACTTCCTTGGTATCTGTTACCACTTATCCTCCAGGAAACATTGGTGTTAGTAAAATTCACAGAGCTCATATAAAAATAAAAATAGTAAACCCTCATAACATTAATTCTAACTCTTTTTGAGAACTTTCTCTTTTCCATGCTCTACATGCATTAGCTCATCTAGAACACTCATCATCATTGAACATATACAAAAAGTATAAATATATTTACCTTCATTATATCACTGAGAAAAACTGAAGTTTAATGACTACAGTAGTTAAGGCAACACTAGCTGCTAGAACAGATAAGCCCTGAAATCTTAGCAGCTAAAATATACATTTATTTCTTTTTCTTACACATAACAGTTTGATGAGAGTGCTGAGTGGATGGTCTGCCATGTAAGGATTGAAGACTCAAGCTCTTTATTGTCATAGCTCCACTATCTTCAGCACTTGGCTTCCAAGGTCACTGTGGAAGAGGAAGAAAGAGGAAAGCAGGCACACTTACTTCTTAATCATTGAGAACCAAGAAATAACACACTTTATTCCTACTCACCTTTGGTTAGTGAGAGCTGGTCACATAGCTCCATAGAGATGCAAAGATGATTAGGAAATTGAATCCATGATGGGGAAGCCTGTGCTTAGCAACATCTCCACACAATGGGTGATACTACAAATTTTGTTGAACAGTTGGCCATTTCTGCCAGAGAGAGAATGAGCTACTTTCCTAAGAGCCCCCTTTAGTAAGTAGTAAAATTGGAATTTGAACTCACCTCTGAATCCAGATTTGAGCTCTTACTCACAGTGCCATACTTCTGAAAAGATGGCTCATGGTTCATGGGCTCCTCTACTGCCCTGCACATAAGCCTTTGTGGTTGTGACTGTGTATAGTACAGTGAAATTACAAACAATGTATATTTCATGGCATTCTACAAAAAGCCTCATTACTTTCTAAAATTCTGACACCCAGAAGTTCTGGAGAACTTATGAGATGGTGGGTAGTTGTATTAGTCAGGGTTCTCTAGAGGGACAGAACTAATAGAATACATATGAGAGTTTATTAAGTATTAACTCACATGATCACAAAGTCCCACAATAGGCTATCCACACACTGAAGAGAAAGGTGAGCCAGTCCAAGTTTCAAAGTTGAAGAACTTGTCCAGTGTTTGGGGCAGGAAGCATCCAGCAGGAAGCATCCAGCATGGGAGAAGGATGTAGGCTGGGAGGCTTGTCCAGTCTCTCTTTTCACATTTTTCTGCCTGCTTATATTCTAGCCATGCTAGCAGCTGATTAGATTTTACCCACCCAAATTAAGTGTGGGTCTGCCTTTCCCAGCCCATTGACTCAAATGTTAATCTCCTTTGCAATACCCTCACAGACACACCCAGGATCAATACTTTTTATCCTTCAATCCAATCAAGTTGACACTAAGTATTAACCATCAGAGTAGTTATGTTCTAGGATTTGAATGGAGTCACAAAAAGACATAATTTTCGATATTCAAAGGCTACAAATTTTCAGTACCTATGGCGTTTTAGTAGAGAAAATAATCTGTACAACGTGCCAAGTCAAATATTATTTAATTTTACTTTATCTTTTTGCTATATCAGTCTCATTTGATAGAGTCATGAGTGGCCTGAAACAGAACTGTTTATCTTACTACAAGCTTTTCAAATATAAAATTTCACAGAGGCAAGCTCTTTATAAAATTTTAATATTGGAGATAACTGCCCTCTATGAATACATTTCTATTGGTCATGTCTAAGCTCACCAGAGCAAAAAAAAAATAGATGCACAAAAGAAAAATCACTGGCCTTCTACTGTCCAACAGCAATGGAGAACTGTGGAAGTTCTAAAAAGATAGAAAATGTACAAAAATGAGAAAGATAATAGTAATCCCTTTCCCTTATGTTCTGTATACAAAATACCCTGACAGGTTTTTTCTACGTATATTGCTAAGTAAACTGAACCTCTCTAAAACTGTAAACCAAATAAAATTGTTATTTAGCTCTTAATGCAACAAATTCAATTACATATTTATTCATTCAACAATATATGGGATAGGATGATAGATAGGATGAGCTGACTGACAGCCTCTAAGAGCAGTGTTTTGCTATTTCCAGGCTCTCTTGCATGAGAATGTAATTATAAATTTCTAAATCAAATGCACGAATAATCTACAGTTTTTTTAATTCACTTGGAAAGGTCAAATGTAAAATCTATAAATAACTCCCCCACTGTTTTCCTAAAATGTGAAAAATGGAGAGAAACACAAAATTATAGGTAGAAAATTAGCCCTTTTGACAACTAACATAGCACAGTTATCTATTATACTCAGCAAATATTTACTGACTACTGCCTAGGTGCCGTACATTGTGTTAGGGTTCAAAATTTTGAATAATATGTCATTTTTCTCTTTAAGGTGCTTATAATGCAGTTGGGGAAAATATATGCGTTGATACTTCAGAAAACAAATTATACAAATAACATCCGCTAATACAACTTTTCTTAGAGTTCACCAGTGGCCAAATTTGGGAAAGAATTGTATATTTCTATCATCTTTCTAGAGGTCTGAAAGTGAATAATTAAATTTAATCTGCTGAAAAATAGACAATAATCAAAATATTAGGAATTAAGTTGAGGTTCTTTACTGTACTGAGTTACAGCACGTGATTGATTATGGTCCCATCATTCCTACAAGTTCCCATCATTCCTAAGATATGCGATTTCAAAAGGAGCCACACAAACATGAGAGAGTAACAAATCAGAAGTTTAATTACCACGTTATTATAATTATTCAACTGTCCATAACTCCTAATTAAACCCTAAAATAAATCTGGATTGAAGTGATTAATTTAGAGGAAAGGAAATGCCCTTCTTTGGCCTTAAGTTTAAGTTCTCATTTCCCCCCTAACAAGCTGCTGAGCCCAAATTAATGAGAAATCCAATATATGAACGCAATGGTGTGAAGTCAAGGTAGCTCACCATGCTGCAAAAGTGGCCAACTCTATTTGTTCTTTTTATAATGTAAGTAAGAGATTGAAAGGGACAGAGAGTGGGGCTGTCATGTCTACTTATGACATTGAAGCAAGAAACAAAAACGATAGAGCTTCATTCACGTATAATACTTTGTGACAATTTAACCCCCAACTATAAATTGGGCCTAATTTATGTCTTTAAATCTGGCCAAAGGTGTGGTGGATAAGCAGAAGCAATGTGATGAGGGTAAAAAATGGTTCCATAGAGAAGAAAGAACTTTCCTCAAATTCTGTTATCCTCCTCATTTTAGAAAGTGATGCCAAGTTTCCACAGTCAGTCATTTGCTTGTTTAAAAAAATTTTCACCATGGTATGGTGACATTATAAAACTGTCCAAAGAAAAGTCCAGATATATTGAACTCAATTAAAATAGCAACTCCTCTTTGAGAGGGTGAAGGGAACACAGTGAGGTGAGGAGAGTGAGTGAAGTAGGTGATTTTCAAACCACCACATGTAATAGCATGTGATTCTCATGATATATGTTAAATCTTTGTCTATTATAACAAATTTAGTAAACTACTTACAACTACTACAAGTAGTTAATAGATACTGCTAATTTGGGAGAAATGAGTAAGGATATCCAAAACCTAATACATTGTTCATCAATACATTCTGAAAGAAGCCTGGCAATAATGAAAATATTATTATAATATATGAACCATGCTCAAGTGCTAACTAGCACCTTTGCTTTCAAAGTCAACCCATGAAATTATGACACTTCACATAATTTATAAACAATTTCTTATGGGTTAATTTTGCTTTGTTTCTTTCCAGATATATTTTTTACATTTCCTTCTCTGTTATCTTATACAGTACTTCCAATTTTGTACACCTGTTGCTGCCTGTGAGGCACAATATAGGTAGCAATAAAAATAATTTCAAAGAGCAAGAGCACATTTTCATTCAGAAGATCAAACAATTCATCAGTACCCCTCCTTTCTGAATACTGAACATCCCTCTTACCTCAGGAATTTATCCTATGAAGGATATGAGGATAAGGCTATTTAAGTTTTTTTAATGCATTGAGTTGCTTTTCTCCCACTCTAAACCTCCAAGGCCCTGTCATGACTGGGCACATCCAGGACACTGGGGTGACTCACAGCCTGTCTCTGAACTGGCCGGAGTGGCAGCACAGGGTGCAGCTTCAACATGGAGCCTCTTTCCATGCCTCAGGTCTTTGCTCACTTGTCAATATCATCAATAGCATATCCCTAAATGTTACTTATTGCTTAATGAAAAAACAGATTGCTCTACCTGGCATCTAATAGTTGTTAATATCCTAATGGCATTAACGTATGCAATATTGAGCTGAATTGTAAAGCTGACAAAAGCCTACGTGTGTGGAAATGTAATTACAGTGTGAGTTTAATGATAAACTACAACAGTTTCTTTTTGCTTTAATAAACTGTCAGGTACTACCAAATAAAGCACATGCAATTAAGAGAAGCAACAGGATCTTGGGCTGAGCGACAGGAGTGATGGAAGAAAAAGAACCTCCGTACCCCCGAAACAGCTTATACACACTGCTAGTACTAACAGCTGCTGAACTCTGGTCAGCAGGAATGTCAACCTCCTCATTCATTCATCTAGTGTGTGGCATTTTGATTTCTCAATGGAAGGTGCGCTATTTTCAACTATGATAAAGTACCTTAGACATCCAAATGGCTCATTAAATTCCACCTATTACTTCTGGGTTTCCCTCAGTAACTGTTTAAAGAGGTTATTTATAAAACACTTTTTATTTGTTTTATTCAAAGGCAGGAAATCCCCTTATTTCCTGGGACTTTCAGCTATGATTTTTATAACAGATGGGCAATACAATGAATTTGGAACAGTGCACGCATAGGATAGAACTATGTTGCCCAACAGGGAATGGCAAAGGATTTAGAAAGCAACAGATCCGAGTTCATATCCCAGCTCTGCAATTTAACAGCTGGGTGACTTTGGATAGGTTACTTACCCCTTTTTGATATTCCATTTCCTGATTTATAAAATGAGAATATTATTTAATAATACCTACTTCACAAGGTTGTTATGAGGAACAAATTAAATAGTGTATTAAATATTTGGTTTGGTGCAATTCCTGCCACCTATTCTGTACTCAATACGTGTAATTATTATTATAGATAATTATCATAGCATTAGCTGCCATGCATATAGGTATTTGCCCTACTCTGTACTCTTGACACATTTAGTAGAACTTATTCCCTGCAGCCAGACGAAATGATAAAGTCATACAGCACCTGCACAGACAGAACCACTGTGATTATATAGGATCTAACTTTCTTAATGGACATGGGAGGAAACTAAGTTGATGTAAATTCATATATTTAATTACAATTTAGTTAAACATAAGCTAAACACCAGGCTCTGAAATAGGAACCCAAGATACAAATATGAGTACAACCGAGTCCCTCTTCACCTGGAATTCAACATTTTTACAGAGAAGCAGGCAGGTAGAGTCAAATAAGAAATGGACCACCAAAGGCAAGTTCCTACTGCCACTCTAACACCAAGGAGGAAGAGTTTATCTTAGCAGTCTGAAAAGCTGCTACAGAGAAGGTGACATTTGCCCTGTTTTCTAAATCTATGTACAGGAGAGAATCTAAAAAGAAAATCAGAGAAGAATATAGATAAATTAACTAATAAAATTATGTATAATTATTTATACAACATTAGTAGCCATTAAAACCCCTACCAGACACCATTACACAAATATTGGATGGCTAAAATAATAAATAAATAAATAAGTAACAACTATTCCAAGTACTGGCAAGATTATTGAACAACTAGATTTTTCATACGTTGCTGGTGAGAATGCAAAATGGCATAGCTTATTTTGAAAAATAGTTTATCAATTTCTCATGAAGTTAAACATGTACTTAACAAATGACACAATCCCAATCCTAGGAATTTTCCCCAGTGAAATGAAAAAATATGTTCATAAAAAAATCTTTCCTGAACTTTTATACTAAGTTTATTCATAATGTCCAAAAACTGAAAACAACCCAAATATCCTCATTACATCAAAAGATAAGCTGTGATACATACTCACAATGAAATACTAGTAAGCAATAAAAATGAATGAACTATTGATACATAAAATAATGTGAATGAATCTGAAATAGAGTATGCTAAGTGAAAGAAGCTAGATGCAATACATTGGTAATGTATGATCCTTTTTATATAGCATACTGGAAAAGGCAAAAACACAGGGAGAGAAAACAAATCACTGGTTTCCATGGGGTGGGAGGAGGCATTGATTCTAAATGAACACAATGGAAGACTCAGAAGGGAGAGGCTGGGAGGAGATTGAGGGATGAAAATTACCTATTGGATATAATGTACAGTATTTAGGTGATGGGTGCACTGAAAACCCAGACTTCTTCACTACAAAACTCATCCACATAACCAAAAGCTACTTGCACACCTAAAGCTATTGAAATGTTGAAACTTTTAAAAATAATCACCCCCAATGTGCAAGAGTAGTGATGCTAGTAAATGGGATATGCCAAAGAGAAGCCATCAAGTGTTCCCTTTAAGTGAAAAGGTGAAAGTTTTTGACTTAGGAAAAAACAGAGTGTATTTAGGGTTTATTCTAGGTTTCAGGCAACCACCGGGGGTCTTGAGATATATCCCCCATGGATAAGGGAGGACTATAATAGAAGGAAATCACCGTGTAATGAAACTGAAGATAGGAGCCAACTCCAAAACAAAATCATGAATAATTGACAAAGTCAGCATTGCTTATACTTGACTCAGTAATCTAATGGATATTACAATCATTTATATTATTTAATAAGTACTATCTTAAAGAAAGGGAGAAAATATAGAAAGATGGGATGCATTCCAGCAGTCACACAGACCAACTACTGTGAGAATTGTTTCCCTTAAATTTGTGTAATGCGTTAACTGCACAACCACTGATAGCAGGGGCCTGTGTTGGCAAAACATTTCTTTTGTCATTTATTTTTCAAGACAGAGTCTCGCTCTGTTGCCCAGGCTGGAGTTCAGTGGCATGATCTCAGCTTACTGCAACTTATGCCTCCCAGGTTCAAGCCATTCTCCTGCCTCAGCCTCCCTAGCAGCTGGGATTACAGGTGCACACCCACGCCTGGCTTTTTTTTTTTTTTTTAAATTTTTAGTAGAGATGGGGTTTTGCCATGTTGGCCAGGCTGGTCTTGAACTCCTGACCTCAAGTGATCCGCCCACCTCAGCCTCCCAAAGTTCTGGGATTACAGGCATAAGCTGCCAATCCAGCCGGCAAAACATTTCTTAATGTTTGCTTCCCTACATATCTGAGAGACATTCTCTAAGGAGAAATGTGAATCATGATAGAAACACAGTATCAAAATGCTGAAAATGGGGACTATATAACTTCACTGGTTTTACAGAATCAAGCCACCATAGTCAAACTTTTTTTCAGCAATTATCTCATATAGATATATCCAGTTTATCATCTATATATAATACTCCAGAGTTGTATATTAGAATAAGGTAATAAAAATTTATTTGCACTGAGTAAAATTTCACGTCAAATACAAGTCATAATAAGAAGTCAACAAAATAACTCAGGATCTATAGGGAAACAGGTGGCAACAATAGAAATGCATGGAACCTGGTAGTCTGGTGCTGAGGATAAGCTGGAATCAATGGAGTGACTATAGACAAGTGAAAAGAGTTGTTCCTTGCAAGTGTACAGAAAAGTTTTCATCACATTTACCATTCTTGGAGCATTGGATATTTTAAATGATTTTCTAGCTCCTATTATTTATTTGCCCCAGAATTCCTGTAATGTAAGTAAATATTAGTATCTCAGAAAAAGGAACTCAGAAAGTTTCAATCAAGCAGAAAGTCTATTGCTGAATAAGAACTCCAAATCTTCTGACCATTTCAACACAGTGCCACTCTATTTTGAAATGATGGTTGTTTGACAACTTGTACTTATATTTATTTTCAGAAGGGGGACAACCTGGTTTTTTTTCCCCTAAGAATACTTCCAGGTAAAGGGCCAGATGGGATTAAAATGAGGGAACAGAGCCAGAAACAGGAAATTAGGTGTCAGCAGAACAAAGGACAAGTAGAGAAAAGTTTAGGAAGTTACTCTGTGCTTCCACTGAGAATCTACACATTGGGGCTTTATCACAACTGAGTCTTTTGAGATTCATCTGTCACTAGACAGTACTAAGCACACTGTCTTTAAAGAAAATCTTTGTTCTAATTCCCTCCTGACAGGAAAAAGCTTCTGGGTTCACTCAACCCTAGCTTTATCCTTTACAAAGGAAAACTATAGAGAGAAGGGTTTGACTCCCACGGGCTTCACCAACTCTTCTTATTTAACTAGCTCTGTCTAACCAGACAACTGCTTAAAACTCCCCCCATTCACTTGCTACAGCCCTCACACAACAAAAAAAGCCCGCTTTAGATGCTTTTATTTTCTTTCCTTTGGGGTTCCTCAAAGTCTAGGTGTCCCAGAGAGGAATCCTTTGTAACTAGGTCGCCTAAGTGATTGATAAAGGGGCCGGAACATTCCAAAGATAGAGTGGCTATTACTTGCTTCCCTCAATCCTGCAATAGTGGAGAATACCTGACCCAGATTCAAATAATCAGAAGAAGATAAGACTTTCAATCCAATAATAAGGCAAAAAAAAAGAGCAGTAATTCTCATATTAAGCGTTATTGTTAAGAGCCTCTAACACACGTTATGTATGAAAGATTGCAAACAGGAGCTTTGGCTTCAAAGGAGGATTGCGTCCACCTTACTTTAGAAAAAAATAAGCATTTATTTAATTTTAAGAAGCTCTAGAAAAGTATATTTACTCTTACAACTCAAAAGCCCCATCAACTTTTTACAGTACCCTACAGTTGAGTCTTCTAATATTTATCTCCAATCTCATGTTTATCCTCCAGATGATAATTCCACATACATTGTAAAACTGCAGAAATTTTCCCAAGGAATATTCCCAAGCTTGGAATTAAAATGATCACTTCTTATTCTAATGACCATACTCTTCTCATCTCATATGTATCAGACAGGATCCTTGGTCGCAGGTAGCAGAAAGTGACTCCGGCTAATTTAAATAGAAAAATATTTACTGGAAAGATAATGGGGCGCACAGAATCTACGGCAGGCTGGACAATCAGACTTAGGAAATAGATGGAAAGAATGAGAACTTGGTAGCAAAAGAAGCGAGAACAACAACTGCTTTTTAGCAGAGATACCCTGCTGAGCTGTCACTTCGGCAGTCATGGAACACTGATGCTGCTGGATGCTGCACCCTCACTGGACACCTTGAGAGCTATAAACACATTTTAAATCTGTCTCTCTCTCTCTCTCTCTCTCTCTCTCTCTCTCTCTGCATCACTGGCTCCAGATAAAAATTCCCAGGCTGAAACATCTAATTGGCCAAACCTAGGTCATGTCCTAGTGTCCAGTCTGCTGCTGACTCCTCACACAAACCCTTTCCACAAGTCACTGTTATTAAAGTTGGTGCAAAAGTCGTTGTGGTTTTTTTCATTGAAAGGAGAGGCAAAAACCACAATGACTTTTGCACCAACCTAATACTGCTGGAACATCCTCCCTTAAAAGATTTTCTTAACAAAAAGCTGAAACTCCAAAGGGGAAGAAAAAAATCCTTTTAAAAAAATATAGCTATGTAACATGAAGTAGTAACTCAAATATCAAAAGAGATGCAGATGGTATTAAAAACAGAAAACTGAAATCTGGCCATTAGCATGCCTCTGTTTTGCCCTTGGCATTCATTTCAGCTGAAGTTTGCTCAGTTTGGTTGCCCCACAAATTCCTAGGGCACTTATCAAAACCAACAAAGAGGTTCTTCTCTCAAATGTGGTCATTATTTCTTGATTACAGAGAAAGTCGGGCAGCCTAGGAACAGGTGGCTTTCTTCAATCAGCTGAGTTCCTGAGAGATGAGAGGAGAGGCTGGGTTTGCAAGATCTGTTGCTGGCTGGCAGTGGCTCAGTCATTCCAAGACTTCTTGTTCCTTTCTGGAAAGAAGGGAAAATTTCAGAAACTACAAAGCTTCTCTTAGCTTTAATTTGGCCCACAGATCACAACAGCTGTGAAAGTTGAATCCTGTAGCAGGGGTAGGGGGGTAGGGGGGTAGGGGGGTAGGGGAGTGGGGGGTGGGAATAAATAAGGTCAAGATTTATTGACCTTATTTTGGTTTTGCTTATGTGGTTTTACTAAAGTGTATTGTTTTCAGAAGAGGGAAAAGGGAAAAACCACTACATATGAATATGAAGAGAGTGGAAAAAAAAAAGTTAGTTGTATTTCAAGTTAAAGCGATTAGGCCCACAGTCCCAATTACATGTATGCTTCTAGGGGCAGAATGAATGATAGCTACTTGTCTGTGAAATGCTCTAGAATACATTTTAGCTTATAGCTCCAAAAACACCACTTTTAGTTTTCTTTTTATCTCATGGGCCTGACTAGTAGGAGAAGGGGGCTAAATGTTATACAGGTTAGTGAAACAAACTTACTATTTTTTATTACTATTTTTTACAGTGACAGATTTTCATTATATGCTACTGATTCTGAAGCAAAATAAAGAATTTTCCTCCCTGAATTCAACTTATTTCCTTTTATTTATTCCCTGTTGCAAAGATATTTTCTCCCCAATTAATGCAAACATGTCTCTCTTTTCTCTAGAAATTTAAATCAGTCATTTATTCAAAATAAATGGGCTAGAAGAGAGGAGTTTTATTCCCAAATAGTTATCAGGTTTTTTATGATTCTGTTATCAATTACCTGGAAGTGCCCACATCACTTTTGATAATCAACAGCAAAAGGAATGTCTATATAAATATTTAGGAGAGCTGTTCTCAGCCCTAGATGTATATGGAAATCACTGGAAAGCTTAAAGTAAATGGGTGTCTGGGCCTTATTCCAAATCGGAATCTCTAGACATAGAACCTACGCATTGCTATTTTGTTTTTCAACTTTCAATTGAATTTCATAGGAAAGTCGGCTGCAAATTTCTTCTCACAGGGAGTTGCCACTTCTTTGTGGTTGAGGATCAACACTTACACAAAAGGATTTCCATCAGGACCCGAACTAAACTTTTACTGACTCTCACCTTTGGAGGAATGGACTCCACCAACATAGTGTGTAAGCACCCGTGGAATATAACAGCAGCAATAACAATAAAAATCACTTTACCAAACTCCACATCTCTAGCTCTCTTTCTCCCTAATTAGTCTTTTTGACCCACAAATGGCCCCTTAAACTTGTAACTTCAGTATCTTAGACTCTCAGAGATCCTGGCTCTCACTACATTGCTTGCTATAAATTATATTATCCATCAGAGAATACAGGAATCCCAAGGCATATGCCCTTGCCAATTTCTGGAAACATTTTCAAAGTACAGTACTTTTCAGATTCTAAGGGTAAGTTCCCCACTGGTATTCACTTGATGGGCAGAGAAAACTCAGTTAAAAGAAGAACAGAGCGGGTTGACACTGAGCCCAGCTGGGGCCCAACTCCAACAGCAGAGAGCAATGACTCTCCAGTCTGACAGTCTGATTCAGTACATCTGAGGTGAAACCTACAGGTCGGCAATTTTTAATAGGAACCTCAGAATATTCTGCAACAGATGGCCTGCAGACCACCCAGAGAAACATGGTCATAGACTGTTATACGAAAACCTTTCAGAAAAACCAGGAATGTTTAGGTAGAGAAAGCTAAACTGTGTTCAAATATTTAAAGGGCTTTCCTGTTTGGGGGAAAAAAAGTAAATAGATTTTTTTAAAACCCTCTTCTTTAAGACCCAAAGAAGAAGAAAAATGGAAACTGGGTTAAAATTGCAGGAAAAAAATAGACTTGGCTTCAAATTTGGAGGATAATTTTCCAGCAGTCAGACTGGACAGCATTATAAAGCAGTAGTTCTAAATTCATCCTAGAATGATTGCCACTTAACATAGATAAGATCGAGGGGATTCAAGCATGTGGTGAATAGATGGTTCAATTTGTTATGTCCATGGACACACAGAATCAGAACACAGATTCATTCAGAATAATGAACCCCACCATAGGTCTATATCTTTGTCTCTACAGCAGGATGAAAAACATACAATGGAACATTTATCCATCGTATTTGACTAACTCAATTTCCTAAACCTCTCCATTAAACCTTTAATACCTTCTATTTACTAATTCTGAAGCTAGCTTTTGGATTAAGAAGCTTTAAACAGTTAAAAACACTGCAAAAACAAAATGTTGATTAACAACTCACAGATTTATACTCTAGCATCTAAGTCAGTTGGATATATGGATGGGTAGATAGATTAGATAGACAGACAGACAGATCGATAGATAGATAATAAATATATATGAAATTAGAGAGTGAGAGAAATGTAAAGATACAGGTAAATATAAATGCAGATATAGATACAAGAAAGAAAGAAAGATTTATTTCTGGAAAAGATGGATAAAGCATATTCCACTTCAATCATCTCTTTCACTGAAGGTAGCTATAAAACAATGTACCTAGAAAGAATGTGGATGAAGCAGATGACTCTGAAAAGAAAATAGGGACAGGTAAAAGATTTATATGATCTGAAGAGGAACTACTAAAGAAAATGCAGTACATATACACCCTGGAATACTATGTAGCCATAACAAAGAATGAGATCATGTCCTTTGCAGGGACATGGATGGAGCTGGAGGTCATTATGCTTAGCAAACTAATTCAGGAACAGAAAACCAAATACTGCATGTTCTCACTTATAAGTGGGAGCCAAATGATGAGAACAAATGGACAGATAAAGGGGAACAACACACACTGGGACCTATCAGAGGGTGCAGAATGGGAGGAGGGAGAGGATCAGGAAAAATAACTAATGGGTACTAGCCTTAATACCTGGCTGATGAAATAATCCGTACAAAAACCTCCATCACACAAGTTTACCTCTGTAACAAATCTGCACTTGTACACCTGAACTTAAAAGTTAAAAAAAAGAGAAAAGAATAAAGAAAATAGGGGCAGATGGATTGAATCAGAAGACCAGAAGTTAAGAACTATCAAAAACTACAGTGAATTCACCAAGTTTTTTCCCCTCTGGAATTCCATTGCCTGAACTCAAGATAGCCTGAGGACCAGAAGGAATCACTGACACAGACAGAAATTCAGGAAAATCACTCTGGTTCTGGCTCAAGGAAAGCTAAAAGGACCTCCTAATGCTCAGAGAAAGTGTGGAAATCCATGTTTGTTTTGTTTTTTTGCTTTGTTTTGTTTTCTTTGCTCTGTTTTCTGCTGCCTCAGCCATCACAGAATCTTAGAGCAATGGTGTTACTTCCCCTATCCAGTTCCCACTGCCCACACTTGTTTCTGACGTGGCTACAGTCAAGTACAGCGTGAAGCAAAGCGAAACAGGATGCTTTAGATTTCTGGCCAGATGACTGAAAAAAGGACCCTAAGGAAACCACAAAGTACAAAGATTTCAAAGAGGTAAGAGCTTCAGAAAACAGCTCCTTTTAGTTGTACATGAACCCCTGTACTAACCCGGAGCTGTGTGTGCACAGACGTAAACCTGAATAGAACGCATAGACTTTGAGAACTGAACTAGGGGATAGACCACTGCCCAAGTCCTGGACTGGCTGCATGCAGGACTTGGAGGACAGATTGGAATCACACTGCAAAGACTTTGAAAGCCAAATTGGCCAAAGAAGCCTGGTCATAACTTATGACCTGACCCAATTAGGTTACTTGCTATTAAAGCAAAAATATTCACATTCTTTGTAGAATTTCAACAAAACCCAGAGACTCTATCTTGGCCAACATGGTGAAACTCCACCTCTACTAAACATACAAAAATTAGCTGGGTGTGGTGGCGCATGCCTGTAGTCCCAGTTACTTGGGAGGCTGAAGCAGGAGAATCGCTTGAACCCGGGAGGTGGAGGTTGCAGTGAACCGAGATCACACCACTGCACTCCAGCCTGGGCTACAAAGCAATACTCCATCTAAAAAAAAGAAAAAAAAAAAACTTTAAAAAAAAAACACCCAGAGACTCAAAACCCAAGTTTCAAGTGGGTCCCCACTTAGATGTCACAGATGTTGGAATTATCTCATAGAAACTTTAAAGTGGTTTTAAGACTTCTCCAATAAAAGAGGATGACAGAAACATACTTCCAACAAATGAAAAGACAGAAAAATCTCAGCAAAGAAACAGAAGACAAAGAAGATACAAATGGAAATTTTAGAACTGAAAAGTACACTGTGAGAAATAAAAATTTCATAGGGTGGTATTAATAACAAAGTGGAGATGGCAGAGGAAAGAGTCAGTAAACTTGACAATTGATAAGTAGATACAATTCAATCTGTACAACCAAGAAAAACCACATAAAGAAAACAACTAATAAACATCACACACTTGTAGAGCAATACCAAAAGGTCGAAGATTTATATTGTTAGAGTGTCAGAGGGGGCGGGGAAAAAAAGAGTGAGGCTGAAAAAATATTTGAAGGAATCATGGCTGAAAACACCCTAATTTGGTGAAAAGTGTCTACAGAAGATTCTGCCTCCAACCTGGGCCAAGCAACAGGAGGAGCAGAGAGAGAAAACAAGTGATAGGAATTAGCCCCACCTTCTTGGAATTGCAGCTGCTGGGAGGGCACAGAAAGGGTCTCCTTGCTTGGAGTGAGTTTGTCTCTTCTGGGTTTCCATACTGTAATTGCCAGGGCTGCCATGGGATAGCCTGGGCTAGAATGTCCAATCTTTTGGTTTCCCTGGGCCACATTAAAAGTAGAATTATCCTGGGCCACACATAAAATACACTAACACTAATGATAGCCTATGAGCTAGGGGGAAAAAAGCCCCCCCACCAAAATAATTCCATAATGTTTTAAGAAAGTTTACAAATTTGTGTTGGGTCACATTCAAAGACATCCTTGGCCGTATGCAGTCCATAGGCCACAGGTTGGACAAGGTTGGCCAAGGGCCTGGCACAGGAAAGGGAGGGTGGGGGCTGGACATCTCTCTCAGGGGTGATAGGGTCCCCTTTTATGGCTCCTTCTGGAATTTTCTGTCTCTATAGGAATACTCACTTCCAAGTTTCTGGTTGTGTTAAATCCAAGACAAGGGATGTCAGAGGGGAAAAAAGAAAAATTTCACTGCTGGTTTGAGTTTGATGAGTTTGGAATTCTGAACTCCAATCCTCTTGCTAGTATTTACAGTTCACAAATAGCTGCTCCATGCATTCTCCCCAGGGTTTCTAGTTGGTTTCAATACGAGAGAGGAGGAATGCTTACCCCCTGTTACCCAGAACCAACCAAGGTTAAGAAAAAATTTTGGAATAATTACTAAATATTACAGAATGTTGCTTGTTGAATCTCTGAATACTATTGTCATAGACGAATGCTAAATAAGTTACATTTGGTTTTCTGTTTATAGGTTATTCAAAGGAATCTTATTTCTTTAGTTATATTGCTAGTCACTGTTTCCCATAATGCTGCCTATGTGTAGAACTAGAAAGATATTTTATGTCCAAAAGAATCATCATTTAGAAAGTTAAAGCATTTTTCTCTAAACATATAAACTTTCCAAATTTCATCATGATATTGGGCTATCAATGCCACTGATTACCAACAAATAATTAAAAGTTGGCTATATTTTGGGAAAACATACACAGTCTTACTTAACATGTTATTTTATGTTTTCTTTATTATATTCATTCTGCAAATATTGAGTGTTTATTTGCCAAGTTCTAGCCTTGACAGTCTGGTAGTGAATACATTGGGTAAAGTCCTGTGTTCATCCTATTAAGACATTTGAATAGAATATTCTAGGCATTCTGATAAGCACAACTATTCTATATTATTGCTTTTAATATGGAAAAGGTATTCCTTAAATATTCTCTAAGTTGACTTTGTCTCTGGTGATCTTTACAAAAGGATGGGAAAGTAGACTAATATATACTTCACATGGGGAAGTTTGGGCTATTGCAAACTTCATTTTCAACTAAGTGACATTAAACATACCAACGTGGTTTAGGTATGAATATCCCTGCTCATTGAGCATAACACTCACCGTGAAATTCTTGCTTAGAAATACTTTGCAAATTTCCTAAATTTGGGATATGTCAGCTTTAGAAAAGAAATAAAAGCCACGTGTTGAATGTGCTCTCATGGCTGAGATTAGTAATTATTATACCTTTTATTTTCTTAAAGCAACTTTTTAATTTTAAGAGATTAAATGGCTTGATTAAAAATTAAATGGCTTGATTAGTTTATTGGATGTCACAACATCTCATGGCTGAAAAAGCTAAATTGTTAAAGAAAAATTAGTTTTGTTCATCCATTTATATATCATTTGGGTCCAGTAGCAAGAGAAGGGCACTTGATACATATTAGTTCAAAAACTTGGGCAGTTTTGTTGTTATTTTGTACTTTATTTTGTGATAGAGGTCATCATAATTATAAGTTAGACATTAGGTTTCTTTTCATTATTCCATTTTTTCTTTCTCTTTCATCCTTCATTCCCACCCTCCATTCTTTCCTTCCATCATATACCCTTTCTAATCTTCTACTTTAGCACCCCTGTTCAATAAACAACTTCTCAAAATGTTCTCACCTGGTACTGAGAATGTGACCATGTCATCACTTCTCAAATACATCCAGGGGCAGTTAACAGAAAATTTTAACAGAGACTAAGGCAATTCTGTCATTACTCACATGTGGGGTGTGCATATATACATCTATATGGTCTAAGAATGTGAATAACCTTCATTTGGTAGAAACACATTCAACTAATTAAAGCTGGTGGAAACTGTAATAATTTCCCTAAGTTCCATAAATCATATACCCTCCGAGTTTGTTTTGAGGCATTTTTCTCTAGCATTGGTTAAATAGCTATCATTTTTAACATTTGCATTCCTCCCAATCTCCAAGGGAGGAGAGTACTATTGTAATTATACTACATTCTTCTGAGGTTCCATAATGAGCTATTATTTTGCTAATGGAATATTCAAGTAGTCTGTAGTAATTTATCAAATAGTCCCAAGTCCCATTTTCTCAGTGTGAGTCTTTTTGTTCACAGGTAAATTGATGTGTGGGGGGTTATCAAGTCTTTTTTGTAATTCAAATTATCCATTCCACCTCCCTTCACACACACAAAAATGCTATCTTAGAAGAGTTTTTAGAAATGTTTAGAATTAAAATTGTACAGACACCGTGCAAGTAGTAATTTCTGCATTTCAAATTTATTTTGTGATGTTTTTGCATTTTGATGCCTAATTTTGAAAATGCTCCTAAATTGAAGGTGGGGGGAGGCAAAGATGTAATTCAACTTCTTTCACACTATAGTCAATGCTTTTGTCAGTTCAAACTACTAGCAGGAGAGCACTATACTAAATTAGAGATTCAGGAACAGGAAATCATCTCAAGCTCTCCTATTTTCCTTCACTTTAAAAAAATCAGAATTTAAACCGGGTATAGTTCTTGTTGACCACTTTTTGGAACAGAACACTTTTAAAGTTATAATGGGGTGTGCATATACCAGTGAGTGTATTAGAGCCCTTGAGCAGAAAACTATGCAAATTGACTCAGGTTGGGAGAAGGGCTTTTGAACTACAGAAAGAAAATGAAACAAAAGCAAACTACCTGTAAATTTTTTTTTTTTTTTGAGACGGAGTTTCGCTCTGTCACCCAGGCTGTAGTGCAGTGATGCAATCCCTGCTCACTGCAAGCTCCGCCTCACGGGTTCAAGCAGTTCTCATGCCTCAGCCTCCCGAGTAGCTAGGATTACAGGCACCTGCCATCACACCCAGCTAATTTTTGTACTTTTAATAGAGATGGGATTTCATCATGCTGGTCAGGCTGGTCTGGAACTCCTGACCTCAAGTGATCCACCCGCCTCGGCCTCCCAAAGTGCTGAGATTACAGGTATGAGCCACCACGCCTGGCCTACCTGTAAAATTAACAAAGGACAGACTGGAGAGTTCTAGTCCCTGGTAGAATTCTGAACTGACTTGTGCTAGACTCAGCTTCCTCAACTTAACCTTAAAGTTTACTTTATAATATTGTCATTACAGGAAAACATCTTTGAGAAACTAACCAAAGCAACCAACAGAAGACCTTGAGAAGATCGAAAATTGTAATTGCTGGGTGTGGAAAGTATAGGAATTCGCATTTTCCTATGGAAGTACTCCACAGATGGCCTTGATAAGATAAAGCAGAGAAGAGCCTTTTCAATTTTGCACTTGTCTTTCCCCTACATAGTCTTTGGACAATTACTCCTTCCCATTTACCCAAAAATCTGTTACAGCAACTTAGATCGCTTGTGTGGTGTCTCTGAAGTAATATTTAGGTAGCAGAAAGGCCCTCTTTGGGTGACAAATCTTTAAAAATAAGAGAAGACTGACCAGCTGCCTTTGGGCATTGACCCTTCCTCCTCCTTTCCCTCCAAATACCCATTCGCTGATAAATAATAATCTCAGGAAACTGCCCTCCCTCCCCACCACCCCCATTGCTGTATTACCATTAAAGATGAGACATGAATTACTGACCAGATGAATCTCTTGGAGGACTGACTGTTACAGCCTGGAATCCACACAGGTTCTGCAGTGCCTGAGACTCTGACTCTCTGCCTAGGGGCTTATCCTTGTCTCTATTTTTAACCTCGCCGAAATTCATATAAATTGCAGCCTTGCTTTTGGCCCTTACCCAAAACACATTTTCAGAAATGCAGACATCTTTTCTATTCAGAGATCCTGCTGAAACAGAGTAGCTGATAGACCAGGGGAGCATGAACTCACTCACCAAAATAACTAGATGCAAAGGGCTATAATTACCAAAAGAAAAAGCACCAACTGGACAACTATCTTAAGTGTAAATACTAGAACTGACAGATTAAGAATTATAAGTAGAATAATAAATATAGTTATGAAGATATTAGAAAGTTTAACCATATAAAAGAAAAACAATGAATTATTAAGTTCCACATGGGAATATTATACATAAAAATTTACGTATATTTCACATAATTAAAGATTAAAGATCTTGGATTTAGAAAGATCATCAAATGTCAAATATTATTGATAATAAAAAATTCACACTTAGACAGACTATAAGTAAATTTAAAATTATCAAAAACAGAAGTATTTGAATACTGCTAAATAGAAAGCAAAGAAAATAACAAATACCCCAGTTTAATATAATTTTAGAAGAAATCAAATTAGAAAAGAACAATGCCAGAAAATGATGGAAGAGATATAAGTGAAATGATCAACTATGTGGCAACATATTTGATCATAGTTTGGCAAAGACTGAGAATGAGGTGGGTGGAGGGAAAGAGAAGGAGAGGGGAAAAATGTAGACCAAATGGAGAAGTATATTTACAATAGCCAGAACTAAAATTCAACATGATTCAATTTGATAAGGTAGGGAACATGAGGAATGAGAGTGAATTAAGTTATTTGTCTCATCAAGAAAAATGTCCTCTTGGGAAAATTATATTACTTATGTTGTTAGCAGGAACATATATAAAATTTTCAAATGCATACACATATATGTGTGTATGTATATGTTTACATATATAAGTTTAAGAATTGATTACAAGAAAATAATCATGATTATGGGTCTTTGGAGAAAGACACCTGCCATAATGAGAAAAAATGCCATCAATACATTTTTAGCAGCGAACGAATCACTCTCAAATAGAAAGCACAGGTGGAGAAAAAGGAAAAACAAAATGTGAAATTTACATGAAAAATACTTACCGATATAACCGTTGTTAACTATAAAAGTTGATTAAACATATGAGTTAAAAGGTGGAGACTCTAATGATGCATTTTTTAAATTCAACAGTAAGTTGTCTAAAAAAAAAAGTAAGATATATTAGGCAAATATAAACCAAAAGAGAAGTGACATAGTAATCTTATGATATGAAAAATATAATTTAATGCCAGGAAGAATCTTATCTGCTGGTAAAAGAAACATTAGGACAAAAAGGTATATCTATCATAATTCATGTCTCACATAGATATTGTCTATGCCTGCTTTCTATGCCACTACGCTGACAGAGCTAAGTACTTACTAAAGTACTTACTATCTTGCATTCTACAGAAAAAGTTTAGCAACTCCTAACATATACAACTGAGTCTTAGGAGGAAAGAAAGAGGAAATGAAATGAGCAAAACTAACATTTGAAGAGAGTCAGAATAACACAAATAATAATAGGCAGGGATATTAAAAGAGTTAGGTTGGTGCAAAAGTAATTGCGGGTTTTTTTGCCATTGAAAGTAATGGCGGCTGGGGAGGGTGGCCCACGCTTGTAATCCCAGCATTTTGGTAGGCCGAGGCAGGTGGATCACGAGGTCAGGAGTCAAGACCAGCCTGGCCCACACGGTGAAACTCTGTCTCTACTAAAAATACAAAAATCAGCTGGGTGTGGTGGCAGGTGCCTGTAATCCCCACTACTCAGGAGACTGAGACAGGAGATTTGCTTGAACCTGGGAAGCAGAGGTGGTAGTGAGCCGAGATCGTGCCATTGCACTCCAGCCTGGGTGACAGAGCTAGATGCCATCTCAAAAAAAAGAAAAAAGAAAAAAGAAAAAAAAGAAAAAGAAAGTAATGCTAAAAACTGCAATTACTTTTGCACCAACCTTAATATCCTATCTGTATTCTATATATTCAAATATCCAGAGGAAAACTAAAACTTGTTAAGTAGAAACACAAGATATAAAAAGATCTACATTGAGCTTGTACCAATAAAACCTATAATATCTGAGATTAAAAAATTCACTGAGTGGGATTCATGGCTGATTAAACATTGTGGAAGAAGACGTATCAATAGAAACCATCTGAAATTTTAAAATATAAGCCTTTTAAAAATTGAACAGAGCATCAGTGAGCTCTGGAACAAAAAAATATATATTAAATATATATATAATTCTTTATTATATATAATCATATATATGTATATGATTGGAGTTCCTGAAACACAAGAAATCAGGGTATACACAGAATATTTGAAGAAATAATGGGCACAATTTTTTCAAATTTGCTGAAAACCACAGATCTCCTGATTCAAGAAACTCAACAAACCTCAAGAGCAAGTGCCAGGAAAAAGAAAACACACAAAACTTTAGCAAGTCACATCTCATTCAAATTACTTAAAGTTGATGATAAAGAAAAAAACATTATAACATCAGCCAGGGGTAGTAAGCAGGGGTGTGGAGATACACATATATATTTTTAAAAATTTAAGTATCTTAGCAGGATTCTCATTGGAAATAATGCAAACTACACTGAAAAAAAAAAAAAAAAAAAAAGCAAGTAACAAGCTGAAATTATTTACCTATTGAAAATATCTTTAGAAAACAAAGATTAAATGAAGGCTTTTCAAACATAAATATCTGAAACCAATGAAGAACTTTAGGAATGATAACTACGTAGCACATATAAAGCTTCCTTTAAAAATTATTTAAATATTCTTCAAAGATAATCTACTGTAAAAAAATGAGTAACAATGTATATTATGAGTTATAACAGATATCAAAGCAAAATATTTGATTACATTGCATAAAGGCTGGGAGGGAAGAAATGGAAAAATAATTTTTAAGTTTCTTATAGTACATATTAATTTATATACTATCACTTGAAGATAGACTCTGATAAGTTAAAGATGTGTACTTTAAACACTAAAGTAGACACTAAAATAACACAATGATCAGTTATTACTAATTGTCCAACAAAAGAAATAGTATGGAATCATAAAAAATAATCCAAAAGAAGGCAGAAAAGATAAAAAAGGAACAAAAAAAGAGACTAATGAAAAATAAATGGCAAAATAATAGATTTATACCCAACCATGCCAATAATCACACCAAATATAAATGGACTAAAACCCAATTAAAAGGCAAAGATCCTATGATTATATTTTTTTAAAGCAAGATACACTCCCTAGAAGAAACCCATTATATAATATAGAGAAATAAATAAGTTAGAAGCAAAAGGATGGGAAAGGATGTGCCATGCTAACACTAATCAAAGGGTGGCTCTATTAATATCACATAAATATTTGGTAAATAAATGTTTAGGGTCATTATGTCTTTTTGATGAATTGATCCCTTTATCATTTTAAGATGACCCTTTTTATTCCTGGACTTTGTGTATTATTTTTCTACTTTGTGCGTATTATTGAACTTTGTGTAACATCAATGCATAATACTCACACTAGAATTATTCCCTACAAAGAGAAGAGATGAAGGAGGCATTACAATGTTTATATAATTTGTAATATTTCACCATGACAAATGAGAGATGTAAAAATTATGACCTTGCTGACATGTTCAACTTTCAGTGCAAATAATTCCTAGTTGTAGAATAATTTAAAAAATCAGTTTAATATAGGTTATATTGGAAACAACTCGATTGTGGCATAATAATTTATTTATTAAAGGACAGTAATGTATTAATTTCAGATTTATTAACTTGGAGGATTTATATCTCTAATGCTATGCCTCTGTACACAAGGAAAGCAATAAGCCACAGAATAATGACATGCATATTGTAAATTGGGGATCAGCAAACTTTCTATGTGAAGGGCCAGAAAGTAAATATTTTCAGTACCATGGGCAATATGCTCTCTGTCACAAACACTCAACTCTACCATAGGCAATACATCATTTATTGATGTATTGTCCAATAAAACTTTATTTACAAAACAGGAAATAGGCAGTATTTGGCTCACAACTATAGTTTTCAGACTTTTCTTATGGAGCATTAACTTTACTCCTAAATTAGGCAGAGTAAACAACTGCCACTATATCATTTCTGCTTTTCTAATATAACTTCATCCCAAATTTTACTTTTAAAATGTTTTTGGACTTTTGATATGTATCCTTCATATGTAATTTGATATTATGGATCTATTTGAGACTCTGCATTTTAACATTGCTTATGTTTTCTGGTTTTCCATTTTCTATGTCTTTTGCTTTATCACTGTCTTTCCCATTAAGGATAATGTCTCCCTGTACGAGAAATTTGGAAGCTGATTTAGATATAACACATTCTGAGCTAATTTGACTGTTGGTCAATTTTAAAATCAAAATGCTTTAAATTTCTCTAATTTAAAAATGTTTATAAATTTATTTTCCATATAAATTCATATTTATTTGTTTTCCTTAATGTATACATGTTTAACATATATAATCTACAAGCATTATTTTGACTTCTTTCCATATTTTATAATTTTTGTCATTATTACCCATGTTTTTCACCAGCAGCTTTATCTTACTGCTTTTTCATTTTGAATTATTTATTATGTTTCATTGATTTGTCAGCTATAGTATACATTGTGGTTTTTATTTTTAATGAAGGATGGATATATAAAATGTATACTCAGTTTAAACATATGGGAATATATTTTTCTTTTACATAGGAAAAAAAACTTGACTAGAAATGGAGCTCTTATATTTAGGTTATAACCTTGTTCTTTATAAACTATGGACAAGGTATTGCTTACAGACCATATTGTGTGTTGATCTGTTTTGTTTGGCCTGCAGAGCACTAACTGAAAATGTGAATTGGTTGATGACTTTAAACAAATCTGAAGATTTCACATAAAAATCCCTACTTGTAGGTTTTGCTCACAAGGTAGAGCAGTTGGCAGCACTGGAGCATTCTCACATAGCAATTCAGAATTAGAATTGAGTCGCAACTTCTGCCCTTAAGTTGGACCTGCAATCTCCAATTTGCCATAGTACTTACCTGCCCTACCTCATTATTTTGCATTGCCTATCTGACTTGTGATGGCAATTGAGATTGTGAGATCTGACATTGTTCAATGAGGTTCTAGAATTTTGTAAATTCAAAAAAATGTGGAACAATTCTGGCTTTTGTTGTTTTGTTTGGTTTTGTGACTTTTAAAAATTATTGTTAATGCTTTGCCTGGATGGAATTAAAGAACTTTCTTTAAAAGTTGAAACTAAAAATACATGAAAAAGTAAACAAAATTTTACAAACCTCTGTCTGTTTTTTTCTATTTATTTGACTGGTTTTTCTTTTCATTTATTTATTTGGTTTTTCTTCTGAAAAACCAAAGTATTTAGTATAGAAACTTTGGCTTCTATTAGAATTTGTTTATGACTTTAAATTCCTTATTAAGCCACCAGTTATGTTGAAGATTTTTCTCTGCCCTCCATATCTATCATCTTTTCTCAAATTGTTTTCATTTTCTTACTTATTTCTTCTGTGTTCTATGAGAATCACTCAAGTTTTTATTCATTATTAATAGTTCAATCTTTGTAAAGTTGATATAGCTCTTTATTATTTATAATATTGATTTTAATTATGTGATTACATTTTGGGTTTTGAATAACTTAACAATAATTAATATTTATTGAGCACTTAACTATATGCCAAACACCATTCACTTTGAATGCATTATCTCAATGAATATTTACCAGAAATCCTATGAAGAATGTGCTATTATTACACTTTCTAAAGTGAAGATAATAAGGCTTTCAGAGACTAAGGAACTTTTCCAAAATAAAAGACTTGGAAAATAGTGAAACTATAATATGTAATAAGACAATTTTTAATGCAAATCCTGTGCTCATATCCACTAAGCTACACAGAGACCTTTCTTTTCCTCTGACATATTTAGCTTGCCTCTCATTCAAGTTATTTTTGTTTTTTACATTAGTTATTATCTTTCTTTCTAATTTAATAATTGCAAAATGTATATAATATGAAATTTACCATCTTAACTATTTTAAGTGACAGTTCAGTAGTATTAAATACAAACTGCTGTGTAACAAATCCCCAAAACTCTTCTCATTTTGCAAACTTGAAACTCTGTACTCATTAAACAATTCTCTCCTCCTTCCTTTTCTCGGCCTCTAGAAATTATCATGCTACTTTCTGTCCTTCCAATTCAAATGTCAGTGTGTAATTTTAACAAATTTACCATTATTGGCTTATTGTAGAAGCCTTGTTTCCTTACATTTTTTACAGCAAGAAACAAATACAGTAATTTATAAGCTTTCAAAATTACAAATGATTTCAAAAATATCCTTCTGCTGCTTCTCTAGTTCTAGTGTCTGTGTTTTGTGTTATACAATCACTTCATACAGTACTTACTTGTTTTGAAAAGAGATTGCCTCATCCTTGAAACAAATGGATTATTCTGTTTTAGTATTACTCAGTTTTATCTGAATCTAGTTAGAATCATCCTTTCAAATCTTAAGATATAGGAGGTATCACTGTTCACACCAGTCAACTTTCTGGTACCGTGTTGTCTTTAATTTAGTATCTGTTGGTCTGAGAAACAATCTCATGGTGTTATGACTAGATTACCTTGTCTAGACACAAGGGAAGAATCTTATTCTGTCTAGTCTGAAGTTCTCTGTATTTCTTGCATTGCAGAAAACTCCCAAATAGTGAAGAAAATCTAAAATATTACTCACATTCATTTTGACCTCATTAGCATTTCATTCCTGAGGAATATTGGGGTGGAGAGATGCATTAGAGCTTGAAGCAGGGCCAAGGGGTGGAACAGTGTATTTGGATTAAATAGAGTGGAGCTTTTACAAAGCAGAAAGGTGGGTTTGTGCCTCTATGAGTCTGTATAGATGGAAATCCCCTACCTCATTAACCCATGTGCCTTTCTCACTCTGCCTCCAGGCTAAGTTTTCCTTAGTTGACTCTCCAACTTTTGCATGACACATTTTTGACCCACATTTCTAGTTTCCACTGTTGAAACTGCATCTCTTTCCCTATTTTCGTGAGCATTATAATGGAAAAATTGCAGAGGCTGAGTCAGACACTGCTGATCACCAACAATGTAGCCAGAATATCCTCTTTCATATTTAAAGAAGAGGACACTGGTAATAGCTTTCCCCCTCAACCCCACATGCTCCAGTCTGACCTAAAACCCAGTGTAGGCTACCAGTCCTTTTTAAACTGCACACATAGACAAAGTATCTTTTGCCGATAACTGCAGCTGGTCTTTGGAAAGCCAATTCCTGTTTCCTACTACCATTGTCTTTACCATTGTCTTTTCTTAGAAGTATCTTGGCAGGAGAAAGTATACATAAATTGTGCAAATTGCCTACATTATATTGAGATGCTATTTGCAAAGATTTCTTTCTCAAATATATTCATTTTTTAACATCTTTAAATCAAATTTAATTCTGATATGGTAACTTTAAATTATGAAATTATTTTTTATGATCAGGGTTGAATGACTTTCAACTTTTCAAATTCTGTTTCATGTCCATAATACATGTTAGTTTAATGAATGGCCTTTGTGGAAGTGACAATAGTTAAATTATAAAATCTGTCAAAAATCCATTTTACCATGGTCTAGTTTTTTATTATTTGATACAGGGAGGAAAGAACAAGAAGACATAGGAAAGCATCAAGTGTGAAATTTAGGCAGAAGTCATGGGCTAAAGCTTGAAATTAAAATCTCAACTACAGCTTAACTGAAGAAAACAAAAACAATCTGCACCTAGAATGGGAGTGTGGGGAGTGTGTGTGTGTGTGTGTGTGTTCACTATGGCACATGGACATTCTATGAATTAACTCATTGGCTATGACTGCTGTATTTCTTATGGAAAGAATGGATGACTTGTTAGCATGATCTCATCCATCCTCTGGGAGCTGGAGGTTGTTTATGTGTAGAGGGAATTAACAATAATAATTCTGAAGAGAGGAAGTGTTTTGGAATGTCTAGAGTCAGCTGCCTAGATTCTATTTTTGGACCCATCAGTTTTTTGTTAGGAGGCTTTAGACAGGTCATATTTTCTTAGGACCACTGTTTCTGTATCTGTTTGACTGGCATATGAATAGTTTCCATTTTATTACTTCATGGATATTTTGTGAGTTTTAATAACTTTAGGTAACATAACCTGCAAAATGGCTTTGAAGTCTTTGGAGAACCTCCAGAACAAAGGAGGAAGTGTTACTTCTCTGGAGAGAATGTAATATTTTTTCATAGCAAGTGTTGTGTGGTCTTTTTTTTTTAATGAAAATTCTCAAGATTGCCAAGTATATTCTATAAACTTTCTCTTCAGAATTGCCACTTTGCAGCTTTTCACCAGGACATTACCTCAGGATTAGATATGTTGTTTGACACATTTTCTTATTATTTTTCAAAAGAGAAAAATCACAGCAAATTTAGGAGTCACTAGGTGACAGAAATTTCAGGACTGTTTTTGGAGCAACAGTTGTTCTTCATATTCAAGATGCATTTGTTGAGAATGATGGTGCACATGTACCCTAGAACATAAAGTATAATAAAAATTTTAAAAAATGCATTTGTGAGGACAAGTCCATTCCTCCTGGAGGGATGCCCTGGGCAGGTAAGTGTGTAGAAGCAGGTCATAACATTGTTTATCTGATTGGGACCAGAGAGAAAGCATATCGGTGTTTGAGACTCAGCTCTAGAGAAAATGACTAAACAAATGGGTTTGCAAGAATTTCGAGACCAAGTAAGTACGTTCATCTCTGCCAATTAATAAGGAAAACTTAAATCTTCAACACACTTCACAGTCTAAAACAGCACATTCATGTATGTAGTTTCACAAAAACTGTGCAGAACAACGTATTGTTTCAAGATGAGAAAACTGAAAATTGGAGTTATTAATACTAATTGATTTGTCCAAGGCTGGACAGCTAGAGAACTAGTACTCTAAGCCCAATATTTTGATTTTTCACCTGGTGATTGATGCTGTACTCTTGATTCTATACAAAGGAGGGAAAGGGGAACTGTTACACATTTCATCCTTCCTAACTGCCTTCCTGCAAACTTTGATTCTCTACTTATTGCCAGTTGAGAGTCACTGACATAGTGGCCATCATTACTGAGGAATGGGTTTCCTTGAGATGTGTGAGGGCAGGAAACAGCTTGGAAATCACAGAATATAATTTTGGGGGGGTGTTTTTCTTTGCTTTTTATGTAAATGATGACACTATATCATGAACATGAAATACATTTCTTCATTTTCTCAAGCAATGACTTTATAGTATACTCAGAAACTTGTGACCTTGTTTATCCTTACTCAGAATAGAAGTTTGGCTGCTGTTTTTATGCCCTGATAATAGCACTAGCCACCTCCACTCCCGCTATCTAAAACTAACATTTCCCAGGCCTAATTGCCTTTACCGCTAGTGCTCTAGGTTTTTTTTTTACTAATGTACATTCTAACTGAAAACACATGACACTGGAGAGATTAAAACCCCTCCAATACATAACCGATGAAACATTTCATAACCTGACTTTTCCCTGGACTATATTCCAATGAGATTTTCATGTGGTGCAGATGTTGAGCTTCACATTGGCATCTATGTTTTGGCATAAACTTGGAGAGAGAAATAAAACGAGCTTGTTTTCTTGGGAAAATCTCATATCAGCCCTCAGAGAAAGGAAAGGGGAACTGTTTCAAGAAAGACATACCTTAATTTTGTTGCAAATCCTTTTCTGCCTTCCAGCCTTCAATATCAATATGTCACACTAAATTATTTCATTAAGTACTTCATCTCCTTTGTAACCTGCTTGTCTTTGAGGACAAACTTTAGAGCAGCCATGTACACATCTGCAATATTTTGACACAAAGGACACCTGCTGACTCTTAACTGGAAAGCGATGTGCATTCTTTTCCTCTTCCCTTCATAAATATATATTGCAATTGCCACTGTTATTAAAAAAATTATCCTTTGGTCCTTAGTGATCTACCATGCTCTACTTTCCATTCATTCTTAAGCTGACCTTGCTCTCTCAAAAAGACAAGAAGACAACCTTAAGTGACAACGAGACAAATTTCATTTTGTTGGGAACTGCCTTTTCAATTATTTCTCTCTTCTCAATTTCTCCTTGCTGACCTGGTCCAAGCTGTTACTTTGACAGGGGTCCCTAACCTCCAAATTAAAATATGCAAATTGTTATGCTTCCTGCACTAGGGCCAGTATAGTCTATGCATTGTAATTGCAAAAGATTGTTCTGTTCCATTTTACACCAGAAGAATATAGTTACGTACGTCTGCCATTTCCTATTATGAGAAAAATAATACCCTGCAGACTGATACATTATAAGCAATACATTTATGCATTAGTGTATTTCTACTTTGAAAATGAAAGATTATTATTTTTCATGACCCACATTCTGCCACAAGGAAAATATATCTAGGTGTATCCAAATAGTCTCAAAGACTTGTGTATATATTTTAAATGTTTCTGTATTGGGACTTAGTCTAATTTAATTTGAAACATCACTGAATTTTTAAGGACTTAATTTTTATGTAATAGACTTGAAATACAGAACATTTACTAGTCAATTAACTTTTCTTCCTATCTCTCCTCTAGAACATTTTTGGAGATTGGATGCTTTCCCTAGTCACCTGATCAATCCGTACTATTCCAGGCTGATAAGCACGTCATTTTCAAAATCATCCTACATACTCTTTATCTCTGTGTACACATAGAATATTTTCCCATTATTTTTAAAAGTTATCTTTCTCAACCCCATAACAAAATTGACTTTATAAATACCCATTGTGTTCGGCCGGGCGCCGTGGCTCACATCTGTAGTCCCAACACTTCGGGAGGCTGAAGTGGGTGGATCACTTGAGGCCAGGAGTTCCTGACCAGCCTACGAACATGGAGAAACCCCATCTCTACTAAAATTACAAAAATTAGCCAGGTGCAGTGGCACACACCTGTAATCCCAGCTACTCGGGAGGCTGAGGCACGAGAATCACCTGAGCCCAGGAAGCAGAGTTTGTGGTGAGCCAAGATCGCACCACTGCACTCCAGCCTGAGTGACAGAGTGAGATTCTATCTCAAAAAAAAAACAAAAACAAACAAACAAAAAACACCATTGTGATGATAAATAAACTGAAATGTATGATATTTAGAAATTACTTAAAGCTTATCTCTGTGCTGCTATCATACTTGCCATGGTTCTCAGAAATTCCAAGTGATCATGAATCATCTGCTGAGCGTCATTATTTCCTCCAGATTCTTTCAGGGGACCTGGGAAGAAAGCCCATTTGGCAATCACTGCATGGGAATCACCTACAGGAGAAAAAGCAATAACAAATAAAACTACTAGAAAATCAAAAGGCTATTTGTTGCTTTGAGATATATTTGATATTTCCTAATTACTTTTTTGTCAAAATTTGATTGTGTTACACTGATTTATATTAAATGTTTTATTCCTAAACATTTATTAATTGAAGCAAAACATATGACGTAATAAGAAGAAAGCCACCCTGAATTCAAAATTTTATACAACGTAAATCACAGGTAAAGAGATGAAAGCTGAACTCAATGCTAAGCAACTGAATATCAAATTGTACGTCTGTTGGTAATGAGCAGTGTGGACACCAGGTATGTAACTTACCTGGTCTTTATTTTCCATATAAATTAAATTCCATATTCCAAGTCAGTGAACTTTAGAACTGAATCAGCTCATCTAGTTAACTCTCTCGGTTTAAACAGGCTACGAGAGGATACATTATTTGACATTAGCAATCACTCAATCATCTACTAAGGCAGGTCTAGACTCTATGTCATTAATTCTTTCCTTTAATGGACACTATGCTAAGGACTGATAGGGTAGGAGAAATCATTTTGAGGCTATGTAAAGATGGTGGGGAGTAGGTGTAGGTGAGAAAATTGATAGTTGACTGTTACTGCAATCCAGGCTATCTGAGAGTGTGCAGAAGTCTCCTCAGTCTTCTCCCTGCTTCAGAGTGCTGTGGAGTTATGGTCTAGCGCCAGTGTGGATTCTTCTGTCTTGTTTGATTGGTCTTCCTTTCCTAGAGATTGTAAAAAGTCATCCCTCAATTACCTTGTCAAGTGGTTGTTAGATTTTAAGAAAAGGAAACTAAAGCAAAAGGGCCAGGTGTTTTTTATTTTGTCTCCCCCGCAATGTTCTTGAGATGTTTGGATTGGACATGATGTGGCAGATACTCCCGTGTTTCCGCCCTGTGTTGAGAGCATGTGGCCATTTGACCATAATACAGGAAGGTAACCAGGAAAGCACTCAAAAGAGGCACAGTCAACCCTCAGTATCCCTGGGGGGTTAGTTCCAGGATTCCCCACAGATACTGAAATCTGTGGATGCTCAAGTCCCTTATAAAAAATGGCATAGTGGCCGGGTGTAGTTGCTCTTTCCTGTAGTCCCAGCACTTTCGGAGGCCAAGGCAGGCAGATCACCCGAGGTCAGGAGTTCAGGACCAACCTGGCCAACATGGTGAAACCCCGTCTCTACTAAAAATACAAAATTAGCCAGGCGTGGTGGCAGGCACCTGTAATCCCAGCTACTCGGGAGGCTGAGGCAAGAGAATCATTTGAACCCGGGAGGCAGAAGTTGCAGTGAGCCAAGATCATGCCGTTGCACTCCAGCCTGGGCTCCATTTCAAAAAAAAAAGCATAGTATTTGCATATAGCTACACACATTCTCCGATATACTTTAAATCACCTCTAGATTACTTATACTACCTAATACAAGGTACATGCTATTTAAATAGTTGTTATACTGTGTTGTGTTTTTACATTTGTATTTGTTATTGTTGTATCGTTATTTTTATTGTTTTTTCCCTAATATTTTCAATCTGTGGTTGGTTGGATCCATAGAGGCAGAACTCAGGGATATGGAGGGTCTGTGTGTGTATGGGTGTGAACATGGTCGTGTGCCAAAATCTAAAGTCAGTTTCTGAGGACCTACGTTCTGAACAAGATAAAGGGCAGACATGCTGAAGTTTTAGGTTTTTATTTTTTTCCCTTGTGTGAGTGGTCTAAGGGAAAACTGTAAATTTTTGGAGTCTAAAATAAAAGTGTGGAAGAGAATTTTTCCTGATCTCTTTGAAGAATATCTGTTCTGTAACTGGAAGACACTGTTTCTAGGCATTCTTATCTAATTGCTCTTGCTATTCTTCGGGGAATATAGAAAAAGGATAAATTTATCATTACAAAACATACTTTACAAGTAAATGTCTAAGTTATTAAATAGACTCTTCAAAAGAAAGCATTTTTTTCTTCCTAATTCTGTCTTTTCTTTTGCATTAATATATTTGAAGATGTCTCTCTAACACTCTACATCTTTAGAAATTAATCAAGTTCTAATTTCTTCTTGTAGGGGTAATACTATAAATGTGATTATAAATACATCATATCTTTAAAAGAAATTCAGGTTGCTTCTTTTATCATGTGAAGAACAGAGTACTTATTGGTAAAGGGGATATCGAGAGGATAAGATAATTTTGGAGGAAAACAATTTAGATTTCTGGAATCTTGCTAAGGTTAGCCTGAGATGACCTTGCTAAGGTTATATCCTGAGAAGAAAAAATATCACTATTATTATGCAGAAAAATGCTGTCAATGCTTTGATATAAACTAAGTCTTACTGTACTTTAATGGCCTTATCTAGTCTATTAGAGAGATATTTTCAGACGTTATCATAATCACATATGAACTTATAAAAGCCTGAGAGCACAAACTTTTGATGATGGCTTTTTTCATGAGTGAGGCACTGTAAGCTCGGGTGTCACTAGAAAGAGGATTCCATCAGTAAAGGAGTAGGAGGGAGAGCATGGAATCTGAGCATTGACAGTCCGGAGGTACATTGCTATTGCAATATTAGGATGGTTGGTTTTGAGTGTCATTCTAAAAATATTTTACCAGTAGTATATATATGTATGTAGTAGGAATTTATATGTGTTAATATTATCATCTCAGAGAATGAAGGCAACAAATTTTTTTAATGCGATTTCACTTTTAGTGTTATACCTGTCAAGACAGGCTGTATTATTTAATGAACATGCTAAGTTGACATAACTAAGAGACTCCAAAGCACAAGGGTTTTTAATAAGATTGACGTTTATTTCTCTCTAACACTAGCTGGAGGGGAGTGGTATAGTATTGGAGGATTTCTCGCACGGTGGAAAGAAGGGAAAGGTCCCAAGCTTTGAGGACACACCCTGTCACTTCTGCTCATGACTGGAATCTAGTCACATAGCAGTCCATGCTATAAGGGAAATTAGGTAATAGAGTTCTTCTCTGAGCAGATATGCTTTAAACTGAAACTGAGAAATTTACTTTTTAAGTCAGGAAAAGAGGAAATTGGTAAACAACTGGCAGTTTCTACTATTTGGCATTCAATTAATTTTTTTAAATTGACAAGAAAAATTGTCTATACTTATGATGTACAACATGATGTTTTGATATAAGTATATGTGGTAGAATGGCTCAGTCAAGCTACTTAACATAGTGAATTGATATTTATTAAATGAATAAGTACCATTTGTTTGACATTTGTTTAAAATCCAGAACCATATGGATTCTCAATTGAGTCAGGACAGTTTTCTAAGACAATGTTATATACTTTAGTACATACTTTTAATAAAAATTTGCATTAAGAATCATTGATAAGAGAATGTTATTCACAAATGTTCTTTCCCCCCATTAACAATAAATAATGAATTTTCTTCTTCCTACATGAGTATTTTATGTTGTATTGCAAAATACTGCTATAGTTAAAAAGAAAACAAAATACACAAATGGAAGTTTGTTAGCAATTATTAAGGTAACTTCATATACTTACCCATTCCAACGTATATAGTGAGGAAAATAACCAAATATTGTTACCCATTACTGCCCATGGAGAGTGTTTCCGAGTCTCTTTTATCTTTCCAGGCCAATTGCCTTGTTCTCACTTAGGCCAGTTGGCCCATGTTTATTTTTCTGGCAGTTTAAGTAGATTGTCAACTGCTGGCCCTGTACCACATCTCTGTCTATTATTTCAGAATGTGTAGCAAGGCTGAGGATGCTTAATTATTTCAGAGCAATGGTAGTAATAATTAAATAACAGGCACAACCCATTTTAAGAAGAGTGGCGGTAAGTAATTTCTTTCCCTCCACCAGATCTTGTTTAAATTAGCTATGTTCGTTTTCTAGTTTGTTGGCCAGCCTGAATTGAGAATTCAGTCATTACCTACACATTATGCACCACTCTGCCACAGGCTTTCAAATACACTTATTTATATGCAGCCTTTGGGCTTCCCAAAACTATTTTAAAAGCAAGCTGACCTAGAGATGCTCATGTTTTCTCAAAGGGACTGAAATGTCTGGCTTATAAAGGTAATTTTAAGGGCAACGATTTATTGAAGTTTTGAACTGGAGAGCAACAAAATTGCACATAAGATACTGATATCAAAATTCAAAACAAAGAAAATTGTAGAGAATAATGAAGGCAAGTACAGATAATATAAAAGTAAATCAAATTCTAATCTAAAAATACTCTTTATAATTTCAATTAACTTATTTTTCTAATGCTACATAAACATAAAGCTAAATTATTTATAGATGCTTTTTATGTGTTTTAGCAACATTATTAGTTTCTCATGTTTCAATTTCTCCATGCGGATGCTAAATCCATCCCTTTGAAGTAATTAACATAATCACTAACATTATAAGATCATTTTCCTGACTCCAAATAAATGACCATCAATCTGGTGCCTACTCTCTATATTCAGAAATGCTTAAATAGTTCATGATTAGTCAAATGACTATGGAAAAACACTGTGCATAAGATGAAAGGAATAATGACTCATACCCCCCACAAGGAAGATGAAACTCTTCCACATCAGAATCAATTCACTGTAAAATATCTGAGTATCAGGAAGATAATTGAAAGCACTAAAAATAAAATCAAATGCAGTCGGTAATCAAAAGGTCATGAGATTGGTCACTACACTATTATGAGATTTTTTAAAATTTTGGTAAAGCTTATAAATATGACCATAGTTTATATTCTGAATATAGATTACTTTTCAATGAAGTTTTTGTATGTAAATATATCTTATGAAGATATTTTATATACTATAACCTTTCACTTATCAAATCACACTATCAATGAAAAAAACTAAAGGTTACCAGACATGACAAACCGAAGATTTTTAAAATTTTGGTAAGGATGACTGTAGCTTGTATTCTGAATTCAGAGCAACATTTAAATGATGCTTTATCTATCTAAATATTCATGTAATGAAAATGTTTCTGTGTTACATGTCTCACATTTCTCATCTCACTGAATGTAAAATGAATCTGAAACTTTAAATGAGCACCCATTTAAATTTTCCCCCAAAATACTTTCTGTTGACAATAGGTTGTATTGTTTCAAATGGGAACCTATATTGTCTGAAACAAATCAGAACAAATGAGGAAGATATTATTCCTAATTTAAAGGTATAAGCACATTTGCTTATAAGGAGACATGTTGATCTGTGTATTTTTACACAGTGGATCAGTGATATCGGTTAACAACAAAACTTGCTAACCAATTTTTCAATACTGAACTTAAGGCCCAGTTCTAAGCAAAACTATGAAGAAATATGTTTACTTGTAGCATATCTCTGTGTGTGTGCGTGTGTGTGTGTGTGTGTGTGTGTATCCCTTTTTTCTTAAATACCTGCTGTCTCCTGTTGGTCCCTATTGTCCTGATACTCAGGATCGAAGTACTATAGCATGCATCCATTGAGCTGTGTCTGTTGTGGTTGGGATTCATATGACTGCTCAGTGACTGTGCTACATGGGTCATAAAATATTTTGAAAACCACCCCTGGTGAATACTCTCTGAGTCAAGCCCCTCCTTTCATGGGAAACTTTCCTGCCAGAACTCAGTGCCAGGGTTATCTTTCAGGGTTATCTGCTCCACTTTAGTTCTTACAGTCCTGGAGAATCATATAAGGATCAAGATCTCTCTTTGCTTTGGTCAACATAAATCTCTGAGGTGAGTTTTTAACATAGCTTGAGTGACTGCTGTCTGATTGTCTATCACGGACTGTTACTCACCCTAGGGATGAGGCTGTGTGTTGATCATGTCCAGGTGTTGTCATGTACCTTAAAGTTATTGTAACTCTGGAAGGCTATTATGACAGTTTTCCGAGCAGATGGCTTCGAATAATTTTGAGAAATGGAGACCTTTTTCTAATCTGTATAAATAGTTAATAAATATAATTTCAAATTTCCAAATGGTTAATAAGTATATCGTAAAATGTTTAACATCATGTGTCATTAAAGCAAAGAAAATTAAAATCAGACATGGTACTACTGAACATCCACCAGAATGGCTAAAATTAAAAGGATATAGAGGAAATTAGACTCTCACACACTGACAGTGGGAGTACACCTTGATACAATTACTTTTGGTTACTGCTTGGCAGTATGTGATAAATCTGAACACACATACATACCCAGCAATTCCAGCTGTGAGCATATATCCAACAGGAAGGCATATATATGAACTCCAACAGACATATACAAAATGTTCATGGCATCCTCTATAAAAGTCCCAAACTGGAAATAAAAACAATGTCTATCTACAATAAAAAAGTAAAGAAAAATTTTGATAATGGACAATAACATACCATATATCAAGGAAAATAGAAGAAACACTGCTACATGCAAAGATGGATAAATACATTGATCAAGAAATCACTCTAAAAGGTACACAGTACATTATTCTACTCATATGAAGTGAAAGAGCCAAAAAAAAAATTAATCTGTTAGGCCTGGCACAGTGACTCACGCTTGTAATCCCAGCACTTTGGGAGGTCAAGGTGGAGGGACTGCTTGAGCCCAAGAGTTCAAGACCAGCCCGGGCAACACAGTGAGATCCCATCACTACAAAAAATAAAAAAAAAAATTAGCTGGGTGTAGTGACGTGTGCCTACAGTCCTAGCTACTCAGGCTACTGAGTCAGGAGTATCACTTGAACCCAGGAGTTCAAGGTTACAGTGAGCTATGATTATGCCACTATACTCCAGCCTGGGCAATAGAGAGAGAACCTGTCTCTAAAAAAATTAATTAATAAATAAAAATAAAAATCTGTTGTGGCTTTTGGAGGCAAATGACTAAGGATGAGAGGGAAGCTTTTGATCTGAGTGACAGTTAGATATGGTGTTCACCTTGTAAAAGCAGACTGGTGGCCTACTCTAATCCCTCATAAGGTAGCACTAGAATGCCATGGTCAAAAACGACCAATTTTGTCCACATCAAAAACAATGATTCCTCTCTCAAGGACTAATTCATATTATCCAAGGCAAGACAGTCAGATAGGAAAAGAGAATGCCAGTTCATCAGTTTAAATTAGCAAATACAACTGTTTCATAGACCATGTCTGTGTCAATATGATTGACACATTTACTCCATGAAAACAAACTCACGTGGAGAGTGATATGATACAAATATAAGAAAAATAAATATTGACTAAGAAATGTCCTTCTACTTCACAATGCACAGACTTTATCATGCGAGGTATGAAGGGCAAGTTTGTTAAGTCAAGGGGCATCCAATTGTATATAACAACACTTAAAGTTTGCTAGTCAAACACACAAATATTTATCAAGGTCATCTCACAGTTCTCAAATGGTGTCAGACATAATTTTGACATAAAAAGCAGTTTGCATGTAAGAATTTCAAGATACTTACAGAAAGTGTGACTCTCAGAGAAAGTCAAGAATTGATATTATTTTATAAGTGGTAAGCTAAAGTTTAAAAATACGAAAACTTAATCGAAGTCATGTTTGTTTTGAGGTCATAGGTAAAACCAGAAAAGGACTCAGGATGCAGGGCTTCCATGCAGAGGTACAAGCATTCATTCTTTCAACAGTTACTTATTTAGAAATTGTGTGTGTGTGTGTGTGTGTGTGTGTGTGTGTGTGTAATTTTTTTCCAGCTGTTGCTCTATGTGTCACAAGGCCATTACCAAACAAGTATTTGCCCTCAAGGTGATTACAATGTACAGGGAAGACAAACAATAAGAATACATTAAACAAATAAAAAAATTAGTTAATGATACTCTGTAAGCTCTGAGGAAAATGCAAATCAAGATCAGGGATCAAGGCTTACTAGAATGGGACACTAGTTTCTATAAGGAGGACTTCAGGGGTACTGTCTGCAGAGGAAACACTTGCACATGCACCTGAATGATCAGATGAAGACAGTCAAATGAAGAGATGATATGAGAGCCATCCAGATGGAGCAGACAGAAGGCATAAAGACCTTGAGGTGAGAACGAGGTTGGCATGGAACAACAAGGAGCTCAGTACAGCTAGAGTATAGCGAGAGGGAACGTGGCACCAAATGAGGTGGGAACCAGACCATGCTGGGACTTCTAAACCGCAATGACTGACTTGGGTTTTATTTTAACTGAAATGAGAAAACATGTGTAGGGCATTGAACAAAACATAAAGGTAATGCCTATATTTTTAAAAGCCTACTGTGGTACATTATGTAGAAGCATATTTCTACTTGAGAAAATTTGGAAGTGAAATACCTTTAAAGTATCAACATATGTACTTCCCAATGGATATAACATTCTCTAAAATGATTTATAGTAACACCTAGTTTGGTACCCATTCTTACTTTTACCAGGCAATTAATTTCTTGAAATTTTATGGTTGATAGCATCATCATTGCATTCATAAAAATTTATGAGATATCTGAAATAAAGTATGGGCTCATCTCAAGGTGATCTGAAGAGAAATTTAATTACAAGAAATAGTAGGATTTACTGTAGTAGTCTGTTCTCATATTGCTATGAAGAAATATCCAAGACTGGGTAATTTATAAAGAAAAAGAGTTGAATGGACTCACATTTCCACATGGCTGGGGAGGCCTCACAATCATGGTGGAAGGTGAAGGAGGAGCAAAGTCACGTCTTACATGGCAGCAGGCAAGAGAATGTGTGCAGAGGAAATACCCTTTAAAAAAACATCAGATCTCGGCCGGGCACAGTGGCTCACGCCTGTAATCCCAGCACTTTGGGAGGCTGAGGTGGGTGGATCACGAGGTCAGCAGTTCAAGACCAGCCTGGCCAAGATGGTGAAACCCCGTCTCTACTAAAAATACAAAAAAATTAGCTGGGTGTGGTGGCACGCCCCTGTAATCCCAGTTTCTCCGGAGGCTGAGGCAGAGAATTGCTTAAAAACCTGGAGGGGTGGAGGTTGCAGTGAGCTGAGATCGCACCACTGAACTCCAGCCTGGGCGACAGAGGGAGGCTCCGTCTCAAAAAAAAAAACAAAACAAAACAAAACAAAACAAAACCCATCAGATCTCATGAGACTTATTCACTATTACAGGAACAAGTTGGCAAAAACTCACGCCCATGATTCAGTTACCTCCCACTGGGTCCCTCCCCTGACACATGGGAATTACCAGAGCCAAAATTCAAGATGAGATTTGGGTGGGGACACAGCCAAACCATATCAACTTAACATTGCCAATATAGGATATATAAAACTCCTTAGATTCTCAGAATTTGTATGACATTTATGGTTCGCTGCCTCCATAGCTCCACATATTTCTAGCTTAAGGAGAAAGGGGATTTCTTGGGTAAATTTTCTAGGTTTAGTCAAGATTATCATCTCTAGTGCTCCCAAACTCAGAAATTAGTTTTTTCTGTTAATCCAGATTCCTGCAAATTAAAAGTCTTGACTACATGTTACCTCTCAAATTACAGATTTCATATTTCTCTCAATTCATTTGAAAGTATGAACAGCTACTTACCATTTTTATTTTAAGAGACAAGGTCTTACTTTGTCCCCTCAGCTGGAATGCAATGATGCCATCATAGTTTACTATAATCTCAAACTCCTAGTGTCAAGCAATCCTCCCTCCTCGGCCTCCCAAATAGCTGGGACTACAGGCATACACCCCCATGCTTGGCTAATATTTTTATTTTTTATGGAGACAGCATCTCACTATGTTGCCCAGGCTGGTCTGGAAGTCCTGGCCTCAAGTAATTCTCAGCCTCCTCAAGTCCTGAGATTACAGAAGTTAGCCACCATGCCCAGCCTCCCATCTTTGCTTTACATGAAATCACAAGTTGCTTAGCTTCTCTTGTAGAACAAATGTCAGAAGTGTGCGTAGGACATTATCTCCAAATTGGCTATCTTTTGAGTTCACCCTCAGGTGAAACACCAAGCACCAGGAAATAGGTCAGGGATGAATCCAATTTCATTAACATCTGAAAGCTTTCATCTGGTGGAACATCCAGTCCTCCTCTCCGAGCAAAACCAATCCCTCCCAAGAAAGTTATTAGTCAAAAGGCCAAACTCAAATCCCTGTGGTGATAACTTCTAGTGCCATGAGCACTGGATTAAGTAAGGTAAATAATAGATGGCCTGTTCACTGGGGAATTCATTTCAGCCCTTCTCAAGAAGCAGATGGAATTTTAACCCACTCACATCTGATCTCAGTTTGGAGTCATCCTTCCTTTTTTCTAAAGAGCAGAGACTGAATTTGGGGCTCATTAAATCATTTCCCAGCTATCCTAGCAGTGCCTAAGAAGTTGAAAATTATGTGATGAATCACTGTTCTGACCTTTTGTCCTGATATAGTTAACTACCTCAGTTATTTGTCTTCCAAGCCCAAATAATCATGTTATAGCATTTAACCTTATGCTGGCAGGGGTGAAGACTCAAGTGTGAGTTACTGGAATAAGCTGCTTTTGACTTTGATTGTGTATGTGTGTGAGTGTGAATACACACACACACAACTATGCTGGACAACACTTGCTTCCTCCTCCAGATTCACTCTGGATGAACCAAGCTTGCTTCTCATTGAGTTCAACTAATGGGAGGACCTGGCAGGAACAGAGTGAGGCCAGGGTAAGCATGTCCTGAGTTCTCTCCCTGCTCAATTGCTGGCCAACAGTGGCTGCTTTTCTCCACAGAGGGCCACACCTCCTCTCAGGCTGCCCTGTCTTCTGGCTTTGGGTCTCTCTAGCTCTCTTAACCTTGCCACACCTTTACAAAAAGTCCCTACATTAATTTCATTTTGTTTGAGTGTGCCATCTCATTTCTGCCTTGCCATACTAGCCTTTACTTACAGAATTTGATTTCAAAAATATTATATGGAGACTAAATGTCCATTGCACACATTATTATTATTTTATTTTACCGTAAAAAGTCAAGGGGATGAAGTCATCTAAGGATTTTCATTAGAATTAGTGTTTATTGTAAAAGAGCAGTTTTATTTAGCTCTCAAAACTACCAATTGGTGAAAATTTGCCCTCCTACATATCAGCCAATAAACTAAGGTTAAACTTTTAGAATAAATAGAAGAACATGAGAGCTAACATTTATTGTAACTCCTCTGTGTACTGGAGAATTTACATACTGCCCTCTTTAATCATTATAACAACTATATGAATTAGAGTAAGAATCAGAGCAAATATTCAAAAGCTAACCTCGCCCTGAGCTATTTCTACTGCATCCGTGCTGCTGTCATTCAAATAGGTTAATTTATATATTTTTAAATTTTCATCATTTTCTATCCAAAGAAATGAGAAGCAAGTCAGAATAGGGAGGAATTTATGAAAATTCATCAACCATTGTAATCACTGCTGCCTCACAGTATTTGCTTTGAGGACAACCTTCTCAATCCCAACCACCTCTCTCAAATTTAGCTATCGGCTTTTCAGCTTAGTCCTTCTCAATCGTTTGAGACTCTACTTTTATGAGGTGGATGCTCCATAGGCTAGAAGAGTGACTTTCTGTCTACAGTCCTTTGTAACTGGAAAGCAGTATCTCTTTAAGGTAAAGCCAC